TTGAACAAAAAAGTTCTATTGCCCGATTTTATATATACTGAATTTATTTGAAAACAAACATCACTATTCAATACACCTAAACAGGACAAAAAAAAACCCCATACCCGGAGAAGTCATACAAAATCAGTTATGCAATATATTTTCTTGTGCTTCTGCTGAACCATCTCAATGTAAACCAGACTTCAAAATACAGCAAAGAACTTACAGTCTATGTACTTTTTATAAACAAAGTCTTTCAACTGTCAAAATTCCCATGGGTGCCAGATATCCAGATCAGCAGACCTATTTTTGTATCGATATGAAACAGAATTTATTTAAAATCTTAAACTTGTGAAGAAGAAAGCACTTGCTGTGGCCTTCAACTCGACATTTAGGTATATCGACGAGATATTATCAATTAACAATGGTTACTGGCATTCATATGTCGACCTGATATATTTCAGTAAGCTTGAAATGAGGATAACACAGTCTAACACACATCTTTTTCATATTTGGATATTTTACTATAAAACATCAATAGTAACGTAACAACAAGTAAAACCTGTGACTTCAACTTTTCAATCGTCACCTTCTTCTACTTATGTACCAAAATAAATTGTTCATCTTCATACTGGGTTGATGTCTCTCAACTTATTCGCTACGCAAGAGAATGCAATACCTATGAACAATTTCTAAAACGGGTTAAGGTAGTCTGATCCTCGGGTTTATAAAATTAGCAATTAAGTAATCAAAAATACTCATAAAAGTATCTCTGAATCCACAAAGTTATGTAATTTTATCCACAGTATTTCTTTAAAGTTAAACATCAAAGTTAACCATATTATATAGGGAAAATAGTCAAATCTCCAATATTTTCGTAGAAAAAACGAATTGGAATATCAGCAATGCATTTTCTAATTGCAAATTGATCAACAAATATATCTTAGGCTAACAAACCATAGATATCCAGGCATTCAGAGAAATTGTCATGATTTTTATACTTATTTGGTATTTTTTATCTTCTATTTCCATCATGTGTTCTATAATACATAGTACAAAAGGCTTTTGCTATCATTGCTAGACACCACAATGCACTTCTCATTTCATATCATGCTATAAAGCATTGGTATCTAAGACTGGATTCAAGAAAATCTTATTTCTGTAAAACTGTATTACTTTTTTCTCCTATTATAGGGTATAAATGTCAAATTTTATAGGACTTTTTATAAGATTTCTAAAACCCTTGAATCTTATGAAGATGAATAAAATGAAAATTGTTGCATGAAAATATTTCATTTTCAAGCTTCATTTTGATGCATTTCAAATTAAATGTTAATTTTTGGAGTTATCCTTCCTGGCTGAGGATCGGATATCCTTAAGTTGTTGTAAAACAAGTTGATAATAAAAGCAAAAAAAAAAACCAAAAGTTTCAGTAGTTTTCAGTAGACCCAAATTAACAAGAGTTATTTCCCTTCTATTGTGGGTCAATGCTATATTCCTATAATTCAACAACTTTAACTTTTTATACTGGCTATTGTGGGCTGGGAAGTATTGTTTTTCTGACAATTATACATTTGTTAGAGCCTCCTTTATTTCATAATGTTTATTCCATAACGATTTCCCCCCAAATATTTCTGCTACACCCTCTTATATTTGGTAGGACAGAGAGGGAAAATTACCTGGTTGACCCACAAGATGGCGGCCAACGGGAAATAACTCTTGTTAATGGAAACTATCTTATAGTCATCATTTTGCAAAGTTCTTTGGTCGATGCAATGATTTTGTCAGCAAACACGATCTATTATTAGTCAAATGCAAATTGACGTTTTTCATATTAATGATTGATTGATTGTATATTGTTTAACGTCCCTCTCGAAAATTTTTCACTCATATGGAGACGTCACCGTATGCCGGCGAAGGGCTTCAAATTTTGACCTTTACTCGGCACTTAGGGCCATTGAGTAGGAAGGGGTCTTTTTCGTGCCAGCACCTACTGTGACAAGGGACCTCGGTTTATACGGTCTCATCCGAAGGACCGGTCTCTATGTCCAACAGTGGGATGATTTTCATATTAAATGATGTCATTATTTACACACTGATTTGATGAGATTTTTTTCGTTATTCCTGATCATGACAAGAAGCACACGGCGGGTTTAACCTGTCGACAGGGAGGGTCACCTAGCACCTGATCCAACCTCTGATGTTTGGAAGTCAAATTTCGCTCTGCTCCTGATTTGTATTGAATAAATGGACTTTTGAGCTTGAACATTGTTCTTTTTCAATGTTTTAGTTTCTTTCTTGAGGAAAATATAATTGCATACTCTTGGTCTATTGCTTGAAAAAAAATGTATATTTTCAAACTTCGTAAAAAGTTTGTAAGAGTTTTATATGCAAACAAACACGGTAGCATAAAAAGGCAAAAGAAAGTATTGTTATTATTATCATTTAATGAGAATAATTATGATTTATAGAGTACATAATTTTAAATTATGAAGAAAAAGCAATAATTTTTCTTACAAACGATATACCCCATGAGGTAAGGAATGTCTTTAAATTATAACTATTAATAGAAAGAAACTATGGGATTTTATTTATTTTGTATTTTAGCACCTAGCAAGCTTCCTAACTATAATTAATTCCCAACATTCAATCATAGCCGCTACATTAAGAACATCACACAATTGTTTATTATTGAAAACCTTTATCGCTCATACAGATTGATTTAACTCTGATTCCATTTAACTCCTCCAATGCGTTGTTAATATCGAGTAGAAATAAATTAAACAAAGTTTGTTAAAGGTACAAAAAACTAACATAAAATGTTTATTTGCGTCACACCTCCAATATAAAGACTTTCTATAGGGTGTTGAATGGTGATCATGCGGGCTTTGCAGCAGCGAGGCTCCGTTAATATCGGTAATAATTTACCCTTTAGACTTGCTGAAACTCAGCCTGTGATTGAATATGTTCATGCAATCTTGCCATTGATCTTTTCGAGTTCTTTAATAAGTTTGACTGTAATTGGCAAAGACCAACCAAAATCGCCTCAATAAGAAAACCTCGATAGAGAGCAACACGGACTCTCCTGCAGCGGAAGGCATCAATATTACAGACCATCAAAGAAAACCATCTTGTGTCGAATTGCACAACTTGTTGTTTCAAAATAGACCTGACAGTTTGAAGTCGAGTAATTAAATGCCTCTAACTTTCTTCCAGAAAATATTAATAGTTAATTGCTATGAATGATATTTGTTTCTACTGCTACAAGAACTTTGTTTTTTCTTCTATTTCTGTAATGTTTGAATTGATTTCATTCGATTGCTTACTTCCAGGGGTTCAGGCATAAAATGAAATGTTGTTTTCCAGATTCAAATAAGATTCCCAAAACTTCAAACTTTTAAGACTTGTGGACTTGATTGAAAAAAATCAAGTTTTATCATTTATATTTTATCATAGATGTTCATTTGCAGATATAAACAGTCGTATGAGTGGCTTAAGTAAGTTCAAATTTGACGAAAATTCAGACAAATCATATATCCAAATTCTTTTGAAATAGAAACTTTTTTCTTCTTATCAGGTAATCTTTGTTCCTATTTTTTTGAAAAAGGTTATAATTTTTTTAGTTTTTATAGACATTCTTACGTCATTTTATATGCAGGAACTTGTGTTTTTGCATAGTAAAATGGCTTCGTCATTTCCCTTGCGTTTGTTTTCCATAATTAAGAACGTTAACCGCGTAAGCAATGAAACATTTCGTACGGATATCTTTGCGGATGTAATATATTGAGATAACGAACAGAATTCATGCTCAAAAGTCCATAAAACAATACAAAATAGGAGCGGAACAAACACGGACCTCCAAAACATGAGAGGTGGGATCAGGTGCCATGGAGGGTGAACATTCCTGCCTAACGGTCACGCTCGCCGTGTGCTTCTCGTCATGATCAGAAAATAACGGAAAAATCTGTCGTCAATTCAGTGTATAAATAATGGCAATTAGCATAAAAATCTCAGTCAGGATTTTACTCAATGATAAATTGTATTTTCTGACAATCTCATTGCATCAACAATAGAACTTACGAAATAATGGCTTTAAACGAGAGATACACTGAAGATTTTTTTCACTTGCACGGCAATTCTTTTTGAGATTTTTAAGGCAAAATTTAAGTTTTATTATTTATTTATTTATTTTTTTTTTTTTTTGGAAATATTTTTTTTACACTTTACACCTATTTTAGAGAAATGTAACCAGCTCAAAAAAATCTGCATATCCCATTAAATTATATTCCACAAGAAAAATAACAAGTATTGAAAACGATAATTGTAAAGCAAACGTGATCCGATAATACTTTTAAGCTTCCAAATCATATATTAAGGAGAGAAAATGTGAGGGTATGGAAAATACAATTGAGAGATAATTGACACTTTCTTATTTCATTACAAGTAATTCTGAATAGAAGTATAGGAAGGCTTAAGGACAAGACATTTCTGAATTAGTTTTTTACCAGTCCACTGGGACCTCAAACCGTAAAGTGCTTTAAGTCTTTTCGGTAAGTCTAGTTGGTCAACCTGGTCAGACAGGAAGTCGTTAAATTAATTTCCTTGTTGTCATTGCATACCAATAAACATTTGTCAAACACAAATCACAAAAAAAGAAAGAGAAACCCTTGATGACCTGTGCTGTATTTCTGTTTTTGAAAACATGAGATTCGAAAGACCATTTTCAAAAATATATTAAAAAACATATTTGATTTTAAAAATGAACCCAGTATCATCCTTTAAAATTTATTGCAATTACGTTATAGTAATAAATTAAGTGGAAATCAAATACGAATTACGCCTTTGAAAGCAAGTGTATAAAGTATTGCAATCTATCATTAAATGTAGAAATCTCAACAATGGTTACAAACACAGTTTTTTCTTTTCTTATTCAGTATTAAACCGAATGTTTCTCGCATTGTCCTCTTGTATTGATAAACCAAAAAGATAAGTTAAATATTTACATGTATTTCAGCACTCACCTCTACTTCTGAAGACTGTGATCAGAATACTCCAACACAGAAAGGTCTGTAAAATTGTAACTGACCATTTTACATCCATTCTCTGCAATGGGTTTTATTTCCTCCAAATTTCTGCAAAATGTCAAAACCCTTAATGTAATTATACATTTTTATTTCAAAAACAGATCAAACATCTAGATCCTAGACGAGCTATAAATTGAATTGATGCGTGGCTCGGTCTTTACGCTTTGAGGTAGTCAGGACTGCCATCCTTCGATTCGATTCTGTTTTATTTAGATCCCATTGATTGTCATAACTTACCGCTTTAATACCAATGCTTGCATGATCTAAATGGCACCATTATTCTGGTTATCAAAAGCAAACACAGCTCCCAAAGTGGACAGTGCAAGAGAGCGGTAGTTTTTTTTCTCACAGAGACGTGCGTGAAGTGAAGTTCTTTTCATCAATTGTTACTTACATCTTTGGTCGTGTTTAATTAAAATATTCACCAGCATTAAATGCTCTCGATATATAAAAAGTACAGAATTGAAATAACTTTAGGTTTCTTTCAGAATAACAATAAGAATTTCTTTCTCATACATTTTTAGCAAATTTGACTTTTTAATGTGCAAAATGTATTGTAAGATAGTAAAGATTTTGTAATTAAATTATGAAAATTAATCTCGTTTTTATTTTATTTTAATTTTTTTTTTGGGGGGGGGGGGGGGGGGTCACATTCCAGACTGTTAGACATGGTGCAACACATGATGAAAAAAGTATACAGCCAAAACAGAACCATAATGTTAAGACTGCATTGAGTTGTAAACTAAATATTAATTTAGGTTAAAATGACTCGATTATCAAATTTAATGAAACTAATCTAATTTCTTTAGAAACATCAATGTATATCCTATACTTCCCCAAAAAAGAATCTGCATCACTTCGCAAAAAATGACGTGTGTATGGATATTTTCTATCTGTAATCGGCTTCGAAATCATAACACCAGTCTATCATTGCATGGTTATTATACAACGCTACAAAAACAATGCTTAAAGCTACTGTTTGTTGAATTCATGATTGGCAAGAAAATACAATGCAGTGTTTTGGCAGATAACTCCCTATAGACATGGTAACAATTTCCTGCTGAATTCTGGAGGCCTGTGCAAGACTTGATAATATGATCGTAAAAAATCTACACACAACTGATGAAAAGCGAGTGCATAATTCAACTGTAGACCGGTTCATTATACTATTGACGGATCCTGGACTCTTTTGCAACATTAAATTAGGATTTATTATTCAATACCCTGATAATTTATTAGCAAGAAGGATAGCTGTATTATTTTGTTGTCAGACAGTATACTAAAATAACATATCTAATGTTTATTTCATTCGTGAGTGTCATTAACAGGTAATTTTGAAAATAAAATTTATACTTAATAAATGAAAATATTTCTTCTTTCTTATTCATTAAAAAGAAGTAGAAATACTTTTAAAAATGCTCATGTATTCATCAACAAAATTTCCAAAATCAAAACTTAAATTTCTGTCTATTAACTGTAGTCTTAACCCAAGCACAGTGCAATTACTACAGAAAGTTTAACTAATTCAAGGCACGAGTCTGAATTTAACGATTTTAAAAACAAAGTCTATCAATCAACACCAGAACCACCAAGCACAAGATACGGTGTTACTGCTATAAGTTTAACAACCATTCTAAAGGCACGTGTCTGAAATTAACGATTTTAGTGTCCAGCCACCTTTTCATCTATGCAAACACCATTTAGTTTTGTGCAAATAAGCTGAAGCCTTAGCAATCAGATCAACCAATATGTACTCAATTTAATACACCTGAGATTCAATAAGGTAAAAATTGTTTTAAGCACAGGTAGCCAATAAAATTACTATCCCTTTCAAAATGTTTGCGTTTTGAAGAGAAAAAGGAGGCAGGGTTTATGCTTCAGATATTGAATCCGCAAATAACACGTTTCTCAAGTAAGTGTTATTGATTTGGGGAAAATTTTACACCTGTATTCATTTTTTCAAATGTAAAATATGTATGTAAAATATATCATACATTAGTTAAAAGATAAAAGAAAAAAAATTGAAAATTTTACATTTTTGCTTCAGATTACAAAGACACGTTAAAACATTTATGTAAAAATTATTAAAACACTTATAAATTCATTTGGCGAAAAAATTCAAAAACGTTAAACTCATAGTTGAGCAACATTATGAAATATTTATGCCAATTCTTACTTTCGTTTTTTAAAAACTTAAATAGAAAGGGCGTCGAAAATTTGTGAATATAAGTATATCACAATAGTCTGACATTTGTTTATTTCGTTTTTACACGTTTAAATTTTTCAACATCCACTCCTTGAATTCCAGATGCATGTATGGATCTACAATTAGTAAACTTATCAAGAAGGATATGGAGATAACGAACAGTATTCAATCTTAAGTCCATAAAACAATATAAAATAGTAGCAGAGCAAACACGGACCTCCGAAACATCAAAGGTGGAATCAGATGAAATGGAGCCAGGAGTGAGCATCCCCTGCCGACCAGTCACACCCACCGTGTGCTCCTTGCCATGATCAGGTAATAACGGAAAAATGCGCAAACAATTTTTTTTTCCATTAAAGTATTTATATCGAGAAGAAAACGCCATGCCTCATTAGATATGCAATACGTTTTCATACTGTCTTAACGATACGGAAAATTAATAATTCAATATATTATGTTTTCATTTTGCATCCTGTCAGCTGACGTAAAAAAACATTCATTTCCAAGTCAATAAATCTGATTGGATAGAAATAACAAATTGTTTCATGGCATCTTTGACCATGATGAGGATGTTTTCCGGATAATATTCCAACAGGCTTGGCAATTCGTAATCCGAGAAAAACTTTTAAAATTATATGGCATACAGATGGGCTAGCTATACAATACTCTCAACGATGGTGATATATAAATGAATTATGCAATATTTACAACAAAACCATATCATTGCACTCAATGATTAATCGAGTTTTTTTGAAGTGATGTAGATACTTTTTTCATTACACTAGCCTTTCAAAATACTAGAATTCAATGTAGGAACCACAATCTAGATGAAGAAAACCCAGTCTTGAACACTGTACCTCGTGACTTCCTTTGTATCTAAGTAAATCTATCGAACGTCACCGAACTTGTAATAATTATTCTGAGAGACCACAAAGATTGGATAGTTATAGTGCCTTCGTGTCTCAAATGCTAGGGCTCGGCGCATGGTCTTTCTCTCGCATGGGTTATTTCAATCATGAATTTGATATCCAAAACATCACAATAGTGTAATCTTCCCTACTCATACATCTTGAAAATCAATGCTGTGACGACACAAGTGGTAATAAAAGTAAATCTAAATTAAATAATTCAATGAATTCGAGTGACAAGCGTCCCCAACAGACTTGTAATAGTCTCAATTTCCTTGATATGGAGTTCTTAAAATTCTTAGATCAAAATTATTAATGCATTGGGATCTAAGGTTAGTCTATAAGATATCAATATGCAATCCACATTTTCTTTGCTGATTTTTACCATATACAGGTTTTTCCTTTTACTTTTATTTAGTTTCTTAAAGATTTGATACAGAAATAAACAATGTATTATCTACCCCCATAATGCGTTTAATTATGCGTCGAAAATTTTTTCCTGGTTTTGTTGCTGTGATGGCGATTAAGTTGTTTCAACAACAACAACAACAAAAAAGCGATATTTGAAAAGTATAGAGAACAATTCAGTCAAAACAAGAGAAATGATGAGGGTTAGCTAAATCTGGGTTTATCATTTAAATATATGGAACAGAAATTAATTCAGTTTTACAAAGAATACTATCGTCTTTCGCTCTACCCGTTAGCGAATCCATTTACCGCAGACGCACTGCATGTTCAATATTTCACTATTTCACTAAACTATCTTCTTTACAAAACTTCTTTTCGGTTAAAAAGTTCATTAAATCCTCTTTATTTTAGAACTTGAAATCATTTTCATTGTTTAAATAAGACACTACAGAATTATTTAGATAAGCGTGTTAAAAGTTGCTGTAACAGGAATCGATCTTTTTCCCCCTCTGTTAGAAGGTAACCGTTTCCCTTGTTTCATACGAATTTCGTACTAAACGTTACTTGAAAGAATCATTAACGAATGTTGAAGGCAAACTTGGTCAATAAAATGTTCTCCAATTTTCACAGCAGAACAGCGTAATAGTCGTTAATGAATGCAAAAACATCTTTAAATCTTCCTTTGAATTTGGTTCCTGTGAGTTCCAATAGGAACATGGATAATCTACTTAGCATGGTATATCTTTATCATTTAGCCTTACGGGGGAACGTGCATTTGCTTCATTGTGTTTTTTGTCTGTTCGATCCATGTTTAGTCGATATTCTACGCTTACCATTGGCATTAGACATCTATTTCATGTGTACAAACCTTAAGCAAATCATTGGCCAAATACTGAAGATTACCAAAAACAATAACGTCAAATTCAGAAGGTGAAAAAACAATTTTTGTCACTATAGAAAAATATTGATATGAGAACATGTTTTATTCCTTTAAAATTTAGTTTATTGGATATTAAAGAAGTTCGACTATTCCTAAAATATAATAATCTGAATCGAATTTAAAAATAATGCATTTGTTTGACTAGATACCACAAAACCAGACCTTGCATGGATAGAGGAAATGGATCGAATGTTATCTAATTTTTTTTTCGTTTTTACCACTGATATAATCAAGCCCCATCAACACTGGAAAATTCTGTTTGAACATCTCTCTTCACTGTGATGAAGAGACTTTCAGAAAGTGGGGGGTAACGAAGTCATACAATAGCAGACCATTAAAAGACCATGTCTGCGTACAATTAATTCGTGAACGCAACGAGAGAAGCAAAAGTGCAGTCAGTCCTCCCACAACTACCTTTAGGGGATTATCACAGATCAGAGTTAAACCATTTCTTTGTATCTATCGTTTATTGGTTTCTAAAGATCAAAGATGATGTCGTATCATTACAAAAAATCTCCTTTTTTCTTTAATTTGATACTTCACGGACTCAGGCGCTGAATGCAATTTTCATTTTCTCAACTTTCAC